AAGTAATTTCTCTTTTTCAAAACGTAATTGCACATAGAAAAAATCAACATGTTCAGAAATTGGTACGTAAAAAATAAATCGAAATATTCTATTGGTTTGGATATGTTCGGTGGCAAATGTTTAGGGCCGGGTATTTCCGAAAATAACGGGCGCGGGTTATATTGGCTATCGTTTTCAACATTTACTTTCCTGAAATTCGTGAAAGATTCACTCTGGCATATACAGACCCTCGGCACGAAACAACATAAGATATAACAAAAAGTTGATCTAATAAACATTTGTTCACTTGTGTTGCATCGAATATGAACCATTTTAACATTTTATGAAGTTATACTTAAACACAGATCTTTTGTGATGAGTATAATAAGGCTCTAACAGAGGCGCAACGATATATCGCCGTTCGGTGCACTCTCCAAAAATACCAACGACGATATATCGTTGCGCCTCTGTTAGAGCCTTATTATACTCATCACAAAAGATCTGTGTTTAAGTATAACTTCATAAAATGTTAAAATGGTTCATATTCGATGCAACACAAGTGAACAAATGTTTATTAGATCAACTTTTTGTTATATCTTATGTTGTTTCGTGCCGAGGGTCTGTATATGCCAGAGTGAATCTTTCACGAATTTCAGGAAAGTAAATGTTGAAAAGGGTTAATACAAGTTAATCTGCAGGCAATCTCTTGCGAAAAATTATACCTAAACGAATGGAATGTGCGTACTTGAATTGAGAGTATGGTGAATTGAGAGATACTTACTGACGCAGGATTTCATGTCGTTACTAAGCAACCACCCCGGTGGACACAAACATTTTGTCTCGCTGAGATACTGGTCAAGGGCGATGCAACGGTAATCACAGCCGCATCCACTGATAGCTTGAATAATGTACACTTCGCCGGGCTCGCGATTTACTCCTGGTCGGAATTGAACGAGTATCAGCTCACTGCTAGCGTACGAGTAACCACCTTCACCGTTCGAGGACTCCGTGTGGCCCGTGTCGCCGCCTAAATTATGGTGATCACATTGAACTAGACAACAGCTTTCCTAACTCGAACTATGCATGCCCGTCAATTAACACGCATCGCTTTGCTTGCATGCACATGAGAACAAGGAATTGCTCGCTAACAATTAAAAATTAATTCTGAAATTAATTCGACACTCTTTGACTTTCATCAACCTGAAAAGTTCCAAAGCACCGAAGACGTTCGTTTAGAAAAACAATAATTGAAAAGTTGACATGCATGGTACTGTATCGATCCTAATTGAATTTGGTGCGTCGAGTATATTATTGTACAAATACATTTTTAAGCCCGGATAAATTATTCCGTTTCAAAGTGTACCAAATTTGACTAGGTCCTATGGAATCAAAGAAGTAAAAATAGCAATAATAATGATTTTTCACTCTTCAGTTGTCGCCTTGTTCAACAAGTTATTTCGAAACTACAACATTTACCTTATTTAACACTATTTTTGGTTGAGCATAGCTCATAGAAACATTAACCAATTTCAGCGTTTATATGTATAAGTAGACTGCGGATCGTTATGCAAAGTGAAAATTGTCTGCGTCAATTAAGCAAAACAGAGATTCGACAAAAATGCATTTCTTCTCCTAATAATTTTAACACGTTGAGAACGGCATTTAACAGTATTCATCAATTCTTCCGGTGAGATTCGTATTTCTTTTATTTCGTTTTCTATCTGCCGATTTTTAGGGCCAAATAAAAAAGTTGAAAAAACATCACCATTTTTGTATTCCATTAATTGTTTAGTGATTGTTTAAATAATCACTAAATAATTAATGGAAACTTACGAAAAATTTGCAGCTGTTTGATTCTATTTTATAAAGTGTCAAAATTATTTATAACTTAATTATATAACGAGTGGTTGTACATGTTATGTATTTTATTTATATAATTATTAATCAATATTAAATTAATTTATATAATCATTATAGAAAAGATGGAAAACATAATAGAAGAAAACTGATTAAATTAACACTAGATTTACGGAACCCGTCAAAATGGCGGGTCACTAATTGTTTAATTTATGATTATTCATATCGTAAAGATACATTTATGAGTTATTTATTCAATTTATATGTTACTTACAACAAATGTTACAATAACACTTGTTAAAAATCAGAATAAATGTCTTATTGTTACTTTTATAAACTAATATAGGACAGCTGTTTTCTCTGCTCCGTAAATCTAGTGTTAAACAGAATAATTTCGAATTGAGATTTTAAAAGACGTTTATTAAAACCTTTGACAAAAATAGTGTTCAATTGAAATATTAAAGTTTTGATCTAATCGATCAAGATAGCGTTGAATGAAATTTTGAGAAGTTCTATTTTGACTCCATTGGTAAAGACAGTGTTAAATTAAATTCTTAAAACCTGCCGCTTAACCCTTTTAGTAAAAATAGTGTTGAATAAGCGATTCGAACATTTCTCAGAAATTTCCCAGTCATAATTTCGATTGTACTAAAATAGGAAGTCTGGTGATTCGACCGGCGCTGGCAGGATTGGCGTTAAAAATAGTTGAAATTTTCAGCAGAGGCGCAAACAACGAATAATATTGATTCGTCCGTTACCTATGTAACCACCACCGCCGCCTCCTGTACGACATCCACCACCTCCGCCACCGAATCCACCATTACCGTGGTCGTGATTTTCAGGACCGCAACCAATTCCTCCGATGCCACCCCGAATTAAAGCTGTTCCATCGGTAGTTCGTTGAACCGCGTCGTCGCTTGATGACCAATTCCACCCGCCGCCGGGGCCACCTACGCCGTCTAGAATCAGGTAATTAACACAGTTTCGAAACAGTTATAACTAAACGTGAATTGACGCGCGCCACTGCAACGGCGAATCATGTGAATCGACCGAATGAAATTGAAACGTCGTTTGTTACATTCAAAGAACGTCAGAACCGTTCTCGCGTCTGCCAAGGGAATACACTGGGAGCGATATCTTCCATTGGACAGCGCGTGATTGTTGTTAACACGTTCCGTGCCGAGCTTTTTTTACTCGAATCTTCATACTTTGATATTTTACTAAAACTTGATGTATTACGTGCAATTATTAATTCTCGTACACATAACAACGTAACAAAAACTTATCAACGCCCATTCTTGCGGTGGAAATTGATTCTTCGGATCTAAATTTCTTGTAAACAATTTGTTCAGTTCACTAAGTAAACATGCAAGCGTGTACCATCGATGGTACACGTGGCACGGAACGTGTTAAATTGCACCGAAATAACGTTTCGCGTGCGGCCTGTTTAACGGTGCATGTTTTGCGCTTTGACAGAGGAACGGAGTAATCGTACAGTCGTCGTTATACGCTGGAAAGATATTGTTTGTTGGCGTTCCTCAGCGCAGAAAGATACACCGACCTGCTTGAAAACGGAATAACGCATGCGAAATTAGTAAATAGATAATAATAACCGCGGTCGTTTCGCGTCGCTAATGAGTACGCTTCAGTAAAAAGTTGAAATAAGCTTGTAATTGCGAGCGAGATTGGCCGAGAGTTTCAAAATCGAAGAGTAGACTCGCGGAAGAAATATTTTATACGGCCGCGCATCGCCTTGGACAGCATCGTGCGTTTTCCATGCCTTGGTTAACACGTTGCGTGCCGAGCTTTCTTTACTCGAATCTTCACACTTTGATATTTTACTAAAACTTGATGTATTACGTGCAATTATTAATTCTCGTACACATAACAACGTAACAAAAACTTATCAACGCCCATTCTTGCGGTGGAAATTGATTCTTCGGTTCTAAATTTCTTGTAAACAATTTGTTCAGTTCACTAAGTAAACATGCAAGCGTGTACCATCGATGGTACACGTGGCACGGAACGTGTTAACCCCCAGCTGGTATAATGATTCTCACAAAAATCTCGGGGATAAATCATAGATCCCGTATAGAAAACGCAAAACTTAATAATTTAGGTTTAGATAAACGCTGTTTTATTCTTAACTAGCGTATAAAACTAGCGTATAAAATAATAGAGACCTGGAAAATTCAACTTTCATTGGGACATTAAATAGAAATACAATGTTAGGGTTATGAGTGACCCCAGTATACCAGTTAACTCTTGTCTGTACAACCCGAGGCATCCATCTCTACTTTTTTTGTAGTAATTCGTGGTAATTTTTGACAAAATATCGCAAAATTATTTTCAATATTTCGTGAAGAAAAAAAATGTATATAAAATATTTTAAACAATTAAGCTTTAAATATTGTTGATACTGTTGTCGTACACACAAGGATTAAGGGATGAAGAACAATCGTCGATTCAAAAATGTAATATCTTACTTCATTCTGCTAATTTTATGGTGTCTGATTAAATGTAATAGCTATAATATGTTACTTGTAAATCAACAAGTTCCATTTATTATAAAGTAACGCAATTTAATCCAAAACCTATCGTGCCGGTAAAAGGGCCGGTTTTACCCTTTTTATTTTAAATTTTTTGAAATTATGCAGACTCTATCGTGGAAAATAATTAAATAAATCCGCCTTGAGTTTAATGCACATTCTAAAAAAAAAATATCGAAATGTCTTAAAAAATTCAATATTGTCAATCTTATAAAACAGCATACGTTTTTTAGTGCTCGATAGTGTTAATAGCGTTTGTCTTTCTTGTTGGTATGACACAGTTGTGGAAAATTCTATCGTTAGGCATCCAATATGTATTCAAATTGCTATTGCTTCGTACACCATTCGGATATTTTGCGTGAATTTGTGCTTATTGATTTAATTATCGACTTGTGCAAAAAAATGTTATCGTTGTCTCTTAATTTTTCGAAAGAGCAATACAAAATATTTTAGACATCAACTTTTGCACTGTCGATCGTTAGTCACTAACCGGGCCGCCCAAAGTTGCGCTCTAACGTCTTCGTCTTATTCCTGTAGTTAGTTCTTCACTTTTACATATTTTCATTTTATTATATAGTGCGTTACACAAGGAATCGCGTTATACATATGGAACGGCGATCGAAATATCTACGGTGCGTTATAGGAATTCGCGATGCCGAAACGCGCGTTATACTCGAGTCTAACTGTGACTTACCGTTATCGTGTGAAAGAACCGGACTAGGAATTGGCTGTTTTCCAGATGGCACTGGTCCCCGTCCATGCTGTACACCGGTATTAACAAATTGGCCGAGGCCTATACCGCCGCCACCACCAGCTATGAGTATCGGTTGTTGCACACCATTCTTTTTCAACTATAACATATTAACGTTACTTTTGTATTTCGATGGATTGTCAGTAAAATGTAAGAAATAAAAAATATCGACTCACTCTAAAGATATACGTTGCTCCACCACCACCACCACCACCATCTCTTATCTTAAATTTCTTCACGTCCCGTATAGTAGAAGTAAATCCCGAAATATCTGTCCCATTTGTTTGTTCAGCAGTTTGACAACTGTCTGTTTTCAGTCTAAAGTTCTAGAAATTTCATTTACAATTTGAATTCTTGACGATAATTTATATATAAAAAAGAAATTATGTTTGTATCCATGCGGATCGTGTTTATCGTTATGCTAATACATCGTTTTAAGTAAATACTGCATCATTAAGTGTTACTTTGTCGGATAAGCTTACGGATTTTTGTTAGAATTCTTTGTCGTCGTTAATTTAATATAAAATAATCAAATTCGTTGTTAGTTTAACATCGGTACGGTCTATAAATTATTGTCACAAATAGAACAGGAGATAATTAATCAATGGTAAATGTGTGTATCTACAAAAATGTTCATACGTTCGTAATACAAGCAAACGAAATGAAATAAGATGAAATGGAATCCCAGCTGATTCGGAATACGAACATTAAACCAGTATCTAATTGTTTTGCTTATAGTTGAAATCATTTTTATGGAAATATGAATTTACAGGAGCAGTATAATTGTAACTAGTAACTTGCGAAGAATAATACATGTAAGTCTTACTTTAGGACACGCGTCTATTCCCGGTTGTCCTACCATGAAATATAACTCATCACCCTTTTCTAGTTCGATCACTCCACGAACAAGGGCACCCAACGCTTCGCCCATCCCACTAGATCCTTTACCTCCACGCGCACCCAGTCCAATTAACCTAGAATTTACAATTAACCAGGTATAGTTGAAACAATCGTGTCAATTTTCTCATTAAGATTAAGCAATATGTTTTAAGCCCTTGAAAGGGGTGATTTCTTTCGTTCATTAACGAAAAACGCGGACAGAAATATTTCAACTGAAAGACAATGTCTTATGTCTGCACTGCACATGAGGACTGTTTTTCGTTAATAACTTTTAAACAAAGCCACGGATTGCATTTGCGCTAAGGAAAAAGTTACTGCAAATGACCGGGGAACCGCTGATTTCCCGGAACTACCATAATTTTAGGATACCCTGTACTTTTAAAAGTAAAGCATAAGGCTAAAGTTTACAAATATTTTGTTTAAAATGTGATTAAATCATAAATATATTTCTTAACATTAACACAAATTGTGGTACGAGTTCTCATTGTTTAAATGAGTACGACTAGAAGAAATAGGAAGTCGGAAAATAAGTACCACCCTTACGCTCTTGTGCAAGCCTCGAGCTTGGTAAGATGTCCACATTACGCTACCGCTATCGGTCCGTGGTTTTTCGTTAATAATTCGTTAACAGGTTGAATGTCACGCTAATTTGACATGGCTTGCCTGTCTGATCAACATGAATTCCTCATTATGCGTTACATATTATGGTAAAATATCATTTACACCAAACAAGTTAAAGTATATTTAATCATTGGGGACGCATTTCTCTCGCTGGACGGTTTCACATCGTTTTAGTAACGATGATAATATTTCACGAAAAGATCATTTTACTCGAATTATGTGCTTTCTGTGATATTGGCTTCGTCGATCACGGGCAACCTCCATAGCATTCAACATGTTGGCAAAGCCGCGAAGAACATTTTTGTAAAGAGAAAGTTACTTCGCATAGCCACAGGCATCATCCCTTTCGAGGACTTACACCCTTCTTGGGACACTCTGTAGAGAGAATTCATACGTGTAATAGCCATAGCTGGGCGCCATCCATCGTTGAACGCCATTTAAATGCACCATATCTTCGTCTAGTCGTAGTAGTGCTGGGTCGAAGGCCATGTTCGTTCCATTATACTCCTCGGCACATTGTTCAGCGGTTGGACCTGTTCTTCCTATGGCCCCGCAAGTTGTAATTCGAATAACTACAAAATCGTAAAGTATTTGTAGACAGTATTTGCACGCATAACAGTATTAAAAATAGCATATCATATATTTCACGAACAACGAACTTGGTTTTTTAAAGAGATTATGCAAGTGGATGCTTCTTTTATATGTCTCGAGTTAGCATACAATTTTTCTGTAATATTGTTATACAATGTATTTGGAAATTCGGGTATTATGTAGATTCATTGACTAGAAGCATTCATTATAAGTATTACTCTAGAACGGTTTGTCTGTTTATAATAGCTAGACTGGAAATCTTATACACTTTCGACAAAATTTTGTGGGAGGGAGAACGAAACAACGAAGACATGAAACGAATTCAAGAATTCTTGTATATTATTTGCAACTTATCAAAATTCTAAAGAGAACAAATTAATTTCTACGTAGCTCCTGCTTTTTTGAAATCGATGGAAAGAATTTTTATTTTGCATAATAATCCTCGTTCTCTAGTTGATTTCTAGTTGACTACTTAGTTCATAAATATGCATACGAATTTTAATGTTGTGTCTACTATTAATTCCTGAATTAATAAAGTGTTGTCATACGTGAATAATGTTCATGGATAATATCATTATTTATTTATAACGATTATCTGTCGTTATTAAACATAAAATGAATGTATATACGATGCATCAAAACATCCTCTAATAATGATCACAATTGACAAGACTAGATCGATATTACATAATTATCACTATACAGTACCAGTCTTGTTCATAAAATCTGCGTGTTGGCCTGGTATTGTTTCCACGTCTGGAATGACAGGGTTGGAATAATTAAAATCTCCTACGACATCCGGAGGAACCCCTAATTAAACAAAATGCAATATAAATGTTTCATAGGCGTATACATGATATTATTTATTAAAGATTCTAATTTACCAATGCCGAAACATTCGGGACTCAAAGAGAAATCGTCAATCGCAACGTCGCCCGTTGACGATATACCTCTGCTTACTTCAAATTGCAGGGAGTATCTGCGAAAGTAATACAAATGTTATACGACAAAACTTATTTTTAAAGTCAGTGAAATATGTATCTGGGTTGTGTGAATCATTTATCTATGCCAAATTCTTTAAAAATCGGTGTCTAATCAATTTTAAGGAGAAATTAGGTAATTCCTATATCTCATTTATATCTAACGCTGTATTTAGAGGTAAAATATAAATAAAAAGAGGTGAAAAGACCCCTTTTAAAATTTCAATGTACAAAATATGTTCCAAGTTTAATCGTTTTGTTTTTCAATAGATTTTTCATCTTCTCCTATAACATCTATAAAATTAATTTGATATTAAATTTGATATAAAAATTTTATATATAAAAATTTAAATTTGATTTATCTGGGTTGTGTGAATCATTTATCTATGCCAAATTCTTTAAAAATCGGTGTCTAATCAATTTTAAGGAGAAATTAGGTAATTCCTATATCTCATTTATATCTAACGCTGTATTTAGAGGTAAAATATAAATAAAAAGAGGTGAAAAGACCCCTTTTAAAATTTCAATGTACAAAATATGTTCCAAGTTTAATCGTTTTGTTTTTCAATAGATTTTTCATCTTCTCCTATAACATCTATAAAATTAATTTGATATTAAATTTGATATAAAAATTTTATATATAAAAATTTAAATTTGATTTAAATTTGATATAAAAATTTTATATATAAAAATTTAAATTTGATTTAAATTTGATATAAAATTAATTTGACAGATCGATAAAATTAGGACGAATAAATGTGTCATAAGGGTTTTCTTATCTTATTCGAAAATTTTCACGAATCGGTTTGCAATAAACGTACCACGTCATAAACTCAAGGTATTTTGTAGATACAGTCGTGCACAGTTAAATTTACACGAAATCCGTGCGATTAAATTTACACGAAGCCTCGTCTCAGTGGACAAAGATAGAGAATTACTAAATAAGACAAACTACGTCAATAGGATGCCACGACTGGGCAAAGTAAACATGCAAGAAAGAGAATTATACTTTCAGTTATTGTTTAGTCTTACTTTTAATAATCGTAGCCCCGATGGTTAGCTGAGAGTTTTCTGCTTAAAATGAGTCCAAACACCATGTAAATCGGACTACGTTTATCGAAGAGTTAATTATTATACAGGACGAGTCGCGTCACTTGCACGTAACATTAAATTAGTTGATCTCGACAATTTGGAAACCTTCCCACGTACAAGAACCTTTACTTGCTTTCGAAACCGAATGTATTTAACAACTTTGTACAAAAATCGTAATTTAAGAGTTTTCCTTCAGGTGTGCAACTCACGTGCTCACCCTAGAGATTGTAGTAATACGATTTATATCGTGTTTGGACTCATTTTAATCGGAATAATCTCAGCTATCCACCGATGCTACAGTTTTACGAAGGTAAGACAACGATTACTGTAAATGAAATTTTCTTTATTGCGCGTTTATTTTTTGCTGGTCGTGGTGTCCCTTTAAGTGCCGACCATCGATCGTCGCTGCTCGACGTACTACATCTCTATCTCGCTTATTTTGTCGAGCCATGCTCGCGTCAGTTCTGGCTCCCGAATCGATATAAAAACCGTGCACTACTGTACTATGCGCATTATGCTTCATTGTACGTTTCATGAAATAATACCTGTATCGTATATCCGGCAAAGCGATGGCCTGACTGTACCAAACATCGCCTTTATCGCCGTAAGACCACCAAAGTACGTCCGAATGCTTTTGATGAGGTTTCTTTTGAACTAAATACAGTCCTAGCGAACCGCTGTGCCTGCCAAATTGATGGTAGAAGAAACGCACCTATAAGTTTACGCGTAAAATCAAATAAACCATATGTACGATTCTAATTTACAATATTATCTGCATCTCTTTCTACGTGTTGGACGCTTACCGTGCGAGGAACATCGTGCAAAGAAAGTCGTGCAAAAATTCATATTCAACAAAGTATAAGACTGGTGTTACACCAACACACACTTTATACAAAAAGTATTTGGCTAAAAATATTCTATTTAATGAATAAGTAAAATTAATATATATATGTATGTATGTGTGTGTGAACAAACAAAGATGATATTTTATTTTCATTCTCGGATTACTATACAATTGATAATGCTTATCGTTAGACTGCGGATTTTTAAACAAAATAAAACTTGTGTGCTTTAATTGTAAGAAACATAAGTCGGACGAAAGTGTTTTTCCTCTTTTAACAATGAACCTGCAATGAAAATATGTGTGTGTGTGCTTACATGTTTTATTTTTAAATTGTTGAAATTTTGAGGACTGCTTTTTATGAAACGATTAAATAAATTTCTCTGTTCAAGGAATAAAGGCGAGAATTAAAATGGCGAAAAGTCTAGGTAAGTCCAGTTTTGTTATTCTTAAAATGCAACACACGTTAGTCATTTTGATAATTCGCTAGTTTTGTTGTTGATGATCGTAATAAGTTGAACGTAATGCAACAATGTCCGTAAATTTTTCTATTGTCTTTACAGCTTTGTGTTTCACGTTTTTATGTTTGTCGGAAATGCATCAGATCAGCAGTTTATTAACACGTTCCGTGCCGAGCTTTTTTTACTCGAATCTTCACACTTTGATATTTTACTAAAACTTGATGTATTACGTGCAATTATTAATTCTCGTACACATAACAACGTAACAGAAACTTATCAACGCCCATTCTTGCGGTGGAAATTGATTCTTCGGTTCTAAATTTCTTGTAAACAATTTGTTCAGTTCACTAAGTAAACATGCAAGCGTGTACCATCGTGGCACGGAACGTGTTAATGACTAGTTTTAGCTTTACTGATCAATTTTTCAAAACATATTTTGAAAACTACTTACTGCTTTCTATTGTTTTTAGTGCAACAGCAATTTATTTAATTTAATTTTCAAGAGTCGTGTAATTCGGTGACGATTTAAATATACTAACAATGAGCCAAAATGACCCGATAACCGCGGTCCGAGGATTAGTAGATCTGTTTTCCTAGTACACCAAATTCTCGCATTAGTCGCGAGCGAATAACCGTGCAAGTGTGAACGAGACGTGTTAAAAAATCATGTAACTATGAATGAAACGGGTAAAAGAAGCAGCGCAAACATGAATCGTGTAAAGCAATACCGTGTAAAAAGAGACTCAGGTTGATATTGTTTGACACAAAAGGAATAGCTTACTTGACACGATCTATAATATGGACTTTTCTTATCGCTGCTGTAGAGCGGTGTCGGATTGTATAATGGGCTCTCAATGGTACCAGAGCTTCCCAATCCAAGGGCTTTAGACACGTTTACGTATGCATACGTTCCTATAATTAGAAATAAATAATATTTCGTTACTGTCAGGAAGAAGTGTGCATTCGTGTCATGTTATAACTAAAACGAAACGAAGTTTCATTTCTTTCATTTTTCAGAACTTACTTTCTTAACCCTTTCAATGTATGTTGGCACGAGTCAGAGCCACATTGTTTAATTTGTAGTATTTACGAAAACTTTGATCCACCACAATCGTTATATGATTTATAACACGGATATAATGTAAGTGCATGTAATATTATCTGAATGATGTTCATATGATAAGAACGTAATGCATATGAGGCCATAAAAAACGGAAATGATAGAAAATAAAATAATAATATAGCTTAACCGTTCTATTATGTTTATTATTTTATATAATTGTATTATTCCGATTAAATATTAAATATATATTTTATACTTAAAAATAATTTTTTGAAAATTATATACACAGAATGTACCACGCAACTTGTGTATTTCGCAACTTCCAAAATATGCGTTAGACACACAAATTTTGTATACAACAGTTGCGTAATTTAAA